TGCCTGACTTATTTCGCTCAGCATAACACCCTCAAGGTCCATCCATGTTGCTACACATGGCCAGATTTCATTGTTTCTCATTGCCATGTAGTATTCCATGGTATAGATAAACCACATCTTCTTGATCCATTCATCTGTTGATGGACACTTAGGCTCTTTCCATGTTTTAGCTATTGTGGAGAGTGCTGCTATGAACATTGGGGTACATGTGCTCCTATGCCTCAGCATTTCTGTATCCCTTGGGTAAATTCCTAGCAGTGCTATTGCTGGGTCATAGGGGAGTTCTATTGTTAGTTTCCTGAGGAACCTCCACACTGTTTTCCAGAGGGGCTGTACCAGTTTACATTCCCACCAACAGTGTAGGAGGGTGCCCGTTTCTCCACATCCTCGCCAGCATCTAGAGTTCTCTGATTGGCTCATTTTAGCCACTCTGACTGGCGTGAGGTGGTATCTCAGTGTGGTTTTGATTTGTATTTCCCTGATGAGGAGGGATGCTGAGCATCGTTTCATGTGTCTGTTGGCCATCTTAACGACATCTTTTTAAAAGAGCAAATTTTTTAAAAAAATTTGAGGCCACCCAGTTTATCAATTTTTTCTTTTGTAGATTGGGCTTTTGGCATCATAGCTAAGAAGTGTTTGCCTAACCTAAAGTCACAGAGATTTTTTTCTTATGTTTTGTTGCACTCTTTCTAACTTAAATATTTGATTGAATTCACCAGTGAATTCATCTGGGACTGTGTTTTTCTTTGTAGAAAGATTTTATTTTTAAGTAATCTCTACAACTTACATGGGGCTCGAACTTAAAAACCCAAGATCCAGAGTTGTATGCTCTTCTGACTGAGCCAACCAGGTGCCCCTGTAGAAAGATTTTAAAGTACAGTTGACCCTTCAACGACATACGGGTTAGTGGCACTGAACCCCTTGCAGTTAAAATCAATGTATAACTTTTGACTTCCCCCAAACTAATAGCCTAGTGTTGACCAGAAGCCTTACCAAAAATATATAGTGATTAATACATATTTTATATATGTATTATATACTATATTCTTGCTATAAAGCTAGAGAAAAAATATTAAGAAAATCATAAAAAAAACTTATTTACAGAACTGTATTTATCAAAAAAATGATTTTGTGTAAGTGGTCCCACACGGTCCAAACCCATGTTGTCCAAGGGCCAAATATATTAATTTTGCTTGATACAGATCTGTTACGGGTTGAATTGCATCACTCAAAAAGATATGTTGAAATCCCAACCCGCAATACCCCAGAATGTATTCTAATTTGGAAACAGGGTCAATGAAGAGGTAATTAGTCAATGTGAGGTCATACTGCAGTAGGACAGGCTTTCAATCCTTTATTACTAGTGTCCTAATAGAGAAAACAGACACATGGAGGGAGAAGGCCATGTGATGATGGAGGCAGAGACTGAAGTAGCTGCAAGCTGAGGAATGCTATGGACCGCTGACAATCACCAGAAGCAGGAGAGAGTCAAGGATTCTCTCCTACAAGTTTCAGAGAGAGCATGGTCCTGCAGACCCCTTGATCTTGGACTTCTAGCTTCCAGAAGTATGAGAAAGAAATTTTTGTTGCTTAAGCCACCTGGTTTGTGGTACTTTGTTATGGTATCCATAGGACATGAATGCAAACTCCAGACTTTGTTTCCTTGATTCAGTTTTGGCAATTTATCTTTGTAGGCATTTGTCCAACTCAACTACATTGTCTAATATGTTGACATAAACTTATTCATAGCTTCTTTTAATTTTGGTAGAGTGGGCAGTGAGGTACTGCTTTCATTCCTAATTTTGGCAATTTGTATCTTCTCTTTGGGAGGGGCAGCCAAATAAAGTTTTATCAATTTTATTGAACTTTTCAAAGAGCCAACTTTTATTTTCATTGATTTTCTCTATTTTACTCTCCTCTATTTGACTGGTTTCTAATACAATAATTATTCCCTCCCGTTTACTTGCTATGGGTTTAACTTGTTCTTATTTTTCTAGTTCTTAAGGTGTAAACCTAGATTATTGCCACCTTTTTCTTTTCTTTCACATCCTTCAGATCACTGTTTTGGCTGCATCCCTAAATGTCAATGTTTTCATTTTCATTTGGTTCAAAATATTTTAAAATTTCTTTCGTAATTTCGACTCTTGAGTCATTTAATTTCCAAATTTTTGGAGATTTTTTTCCTATTGTGTATCCCTAATCTTGTATATGATATAACCACAGAACATGGTTATATCATAGAATGTGATCCAAATCCTTTTAAATTTATTGAGATTTGTTTTATGACCTAGCATATGGACTATTCTAAAGGCTATACTTCTTAAAAAGAATATAAATCCTGCTATCACTAAGTACAGTGTACCAGGGTGGTAGTGTTGCTCAAGCGGTCTATATCCTTAGTGGTTTCCTGTCTAGTTGCTCTACCCATTATTAAGGATAGGATATTGAATATCAAACTATTACTGTTTTTCTATTTCTCTATTCAACGCTATCAGCTTTTGCTTCATGTATTGACCCTGTATGAAATCTGTCCCTAGAGATATTTCTTGTCTTAAAGTCCACTTTGTTTGGTATCAGTAACGCCACTGCAAATTTCTTATAGTTACTGTTTGCATGGTCTATTACTATTAAATACTGTCATCGGTCTTATTATCATAATACATGATGCAATTTTGTACGCACTTTTGTGGTTCTTAGATTGTTCTTGAATTGTTTAATTTGCAAGCTTTTCCTAACAAGAAAGCTACACGTTCTTTGATAGGTTTTATACATCTTTTGGTACAGTGTTGAGTATAACAATGAGCGATCCAGTAGAAGCAACTGGATACCAAAACAAGGTCCTCTTTCAAAAAATAATTCGGTTGTGTTATTTGCTCAGCGTGCTGTTGCTGATGTCCTCCCTCCTTCAGGCCAGGTTTTGAAAGCTGAAAATGATACTTCTCTGCCTTCCTGCCAGTGCCAATCCTAGGTGTATGAACAGTACAAAGGTTGTTACCACAACTCCACTACTTATATGCTAGGACCACAATTTAGGAACACTCCCTTACATCAAATGCCTTAATCTCAGGTATTGCTGCTTTCTTGCAAACCTTTAATAAATCAGAAAATTGTTCAGGTCAGTAGATGGGTCTTGGATATTATATATGATGTGCACAGATGCTTTGTCTCAAGATGAAGATAATGAACACTTTAAGAATCATCATCTTACAAAGTAAGGCTAACAATTGCATACACTTAAGGTTAAAGGTCTTCTGGCATTGAATCTTTGTTTTGTTATTAAAGCCCCGTCTCAGTGAAAGATGTAGGACTGCCTCATATGTTACTGTTTAAGATGCACAATTACCTAAGTGATGTTTGCCAATTTAAATAGCACTTCAGTATACAAGCTGATTTCAACAGAACCTGCAGTTGCAGTCTGTTTAATGAATCATAGGACAAAAAAAAGGCCATTTGTTTTAAAAGACAGACTTTTCTATCCTCTTAAATGTCTATGAAGTTTTTCACTAGTAATATTTAAAATGGGATATACTTGCCTAAGTATACTCTTAACTCCTATACATGACATTTTTGAGATTACTTTATTGAGACTTCTTGACTTGTGGTTCTCTTAAAATTACTTCTGTATTTGATGTGTTAAAAGAAAAATGATGCAATTACAGAAATGTGTAAGGGGTGTTAGAGGATAGAAGATAGGATTAGTGTGAATGGATTTAATGCATATGATACTGGATCAGAAAAATAAACGATCCTTTCTTTCTGAAAAATTATTTATTTTTTTTTCTAGAAAACTAAATAAAATCCTCCTACAGGCAATTCATTTACTTCCCATCCCCTTTCAGTGGACTGTCTAGGAATACAGTTTCTGTCAAACTTTCTGATCAGCATATTGCTTTTAGAAGAAAGGGGTGACTTGTAAGCCTCAAGGAATGTACCTGGCATTTCCTAAGATTCTTCCCTGTCACTTGAAAGTCTGTTATATTCCTCTGAACGTGAGCCAAATTTTCATTTAAATTTCAAACTCCAAAACGACCATTGCCACGAAGAGTCCTAGCAATAAACCGTAGCAAAAGACAACACAAACTTTTCTGATTTAGGCAGCTTTTCAGGAGACTCGCTACACACAGCTGCCACAACCTCCAACAAATAGAGACCAGCATACCACCCCCTGCATTTGTATTCTTGCATTTCAAAAAGGCCACTGTTCCCCCTAGTTACTAGAAAAATCCCATACCAAAGAGTAAGACAGCCTCTGCGTATTGCAGAAAGGAAACGCGCATTACCACATTTAACTTAACTCCCACAACGGAACTTTTTCTAGAACAGAAGCAGAATTCCTAAAATGGCATCATAGGCTCCCTCCATCGAAATACCTAACACCCGAAGCCCTTAAATGGGAAACAGACCAAGAAACGCAAGCTCCAGGCTAAGCTTTGGGGAGTGAGCAGCACACCCAGGGCCTTGTCTCGGAGGCCCACTTGGTAACCACGGCTCTGCCACAGAAGACGGCCACTGCCGCCGACTCACGAAGGTGGGAGTTTCCGCCCCTCCCACCAGCACTTCACGGGCAGTGTCCGACTCCTCGACGAAGCAGCGGGACCTCGCGGCACGGATGGGCCCGGAAGGCCAGTTTCTCAGCCGCCACCGGGCCCACGTCGGGTGTCCCCCTCGTGCGGTCCCTCGAAAGGAGGCCGCTCCTCCGCTGTGTGCGCGGTGGGCGACGAACGGGTCCGACGGCAAGGAAGATCATCCACGGCTTGCTCGGTGCTGGGAGAATGAGTGGGGGGTACAAGCGCCCCCACGCTGCGCTCAGCAGTGGACATTCCCCAGCGAGGCCCTCGAAGCCTTCCGGAAGCCGCTACAGCCGCACGCGGCGGGGAAATGCAGCCCGCGGCGACGAAAAGCGCGGGCGCGCGCGACTGAGCATGCGCGGACGGAGGCTGGCCGGTCCGCTTTACGGCCCGCCCCGCCCCGCCCCCTTGTTGTGCGAGCCGCGTCGCGAAGTCGTCCACGCTCTCTTCTCCCCGCCCTGCGGGTCCCGGGCCCCGGGAGCGTTCGGTGTCTGGCGCCCGTGCGTGATGACGCACACGCGCGCCAAGACGTGGGGACGCAGGCGGGCCGTAGAGAGTGTGAGTTTCCGCGTCTGTTTGGCACCCCTCGCGTCGCTGGTTCTGACTGGTGTCGCTCGTCGTTTTCCAGGGTCGTGGCGCCGGGCTGGGAGGGGGTGCGGGCCGCCGCCAGTCGCCGCTTCCCCCGGGCCGGGCGGGGGACCGGATTGGAGGCGCGCTTCCGCACCCTGGGCACCCTGGGCAAGTCCAAGAGGCGGGAGGGTGCTTCCCGCGGCCCGTCTGCCGAGTCTACCGGGGGTCCCGTCGTCCGCACCCGGTCTGATCCTGGCACTCCGTCATGGACGCGCTCGGAGGGTGGGCTTGGCTCTGGGGGGGATTTTAACAGAGTCCTTTCGAAAGCAGGAAGTTTAAAGTGACGTTGCATCAGCAACAACTTTCAGTTTCAGGTGCTGGAAGAATAACTGGTTTCTATGAGCAAGTGTGTGGCAGACACCACTCTAACCTAAACAGTGGTATTTCTCTGACTAGGGGATAGGAAATCCGCCTGTGAAGTTAACCCTTTTTCTGGTCACACTTCCAAACCTGTCCAGAAATGGATCACATGCTTTATTTTTCCAAACTAAGCAATAGCTTTTGAAGACAGAGGATTGCTATTAGGAAGTATTGCATAGTCATGCCTTAATCATCACATTGTGTAGGCTTCTTTGCAGGACACTCAGTGACAGCTGTAATTTGCCTCTTAGTTCTCTGCAGTTGCTTCCTAAAAGTTTGAAGTCCCACATTTATGTCTTTTTTCCCCTCAGCTCCAATAAACTATAAAGAGTTAGAATTTGCTGCTGACATGGCAGCTTGGGGAAGGAAATAATTTTACAAAGAAGAGCTGAAAATTGAGTTGCTAATTGTCCCATGACTGCTAGCATCAGCATCACCTGGGAACTTGTCGGAAATGCACATTTGGGGATCTTACCTCAGACTTCCTGAATCAGAAGTGTATTTTAACAAGCTTTCCAGTTGATCCCAACTGGGGGATCAGCATGAGGTGGTGCTGTCATGATAAAGAGTAGCTATTGTGAAGTCACAGAAGGGACTTCGAATCCTGTGAAGCCTTTCCTAGGTGTAAGACCTTGGACAAGTTACTTAGAGGCTTCTTCACAGGGCTGTAAGTATTCAGCGTGAAAATGCTGGGAAAGGAAAAATGAGGTGCCTGGGTGGCTCAGGTCATGATCTCACGGTTTGTAGTTCTGAGCCGGCAGGGTTCTGCATTGACAGCTCAGAGGCTGGAGCCTGTTCAGATTCTGTGTCTCCCTTTTTCTCTGTTTCTCCCCCACTCATTCCCTCTCTCTCTGTCTCTCTCAAAAGTAAACACTAAAAAAAGAAAAGAAAAAATTCGGGGCACCTGGATGGCTCAGTTGGTTAAGCGTCTGACTTGAGCTCAGGTCATGATCTCGTAGTTTGTGAGTTCAAGGCCTGCATCGGGCTCTGTGCTGACAGTTCGGAGCCTGAAACCAGCTTGTGATTCTGTGTCTCTCTCCCTCTCTCTGCCCCTCCACCACTCATGCTCTGGCGCGCGCTCTCTCTTTCTCAAAATAAATAAACATTAAAAAAGTAAAAAAAAAAAAAAAAGAAATTTCAGGGAAAATGTTTAACACTAGCACACATAGAAAATTCTAAAAGATGAGATGCTATTTAATAGCTCCTTAAAAGTGCATGAGGTTTCGGGTGCCTGTGTAACTTGGTTAAGCGTGTGACTTTGGCTCAGGTCATGCTCTCATGGTTTGTGAGTTTGAACCCCTCATCTGGCTCTGCACTGACAGCTCGACAGCTCCGGCTCAGAGCCTGGAGCCTGCTTTGGATCCTGTGTCTCCTCTCTCTGCCCCTCCTCTGCTCATGCTCTGTCTCTTTGTCTCAAAATAAATAGCAAAAATTACAAAAAAAAAAAAATTGCATAAAGTTAAATACACACATAGTTTGTGCTGGAAGGATTTTCATGGGGTTAATTGTGCATTGCAGCACATGAATATTGTGACCAGGGGCTTAGAGGGGATTTTGTTTATTTCTGGATTCTAGTCACCGTCTGTATAAATTAAGACTGTTGGATGCAGGATATTTAGTTGCAAGTTACAGCAGTGTGTGCTATTACCCATGCTGCTGCCATTTTTTGTTTGGTTTTGTTTTGTTCTATTTTAAGTAGGTGTTCTGTTCCATGTGGGGCTTGAACTCACCACCCTGAGATCAAGGGTCACATGCTGTACTCCTTGAACCAAGCAGGTGCCCTGGGACTGAGTATTTATAAGAATGACTCAAGTCATTGTGTTAGGGAATGGTTTTTGGTCTTTCAGTTTAATTATACCTTCTTTTGTCCTAGACCTTGATAAAGAAGTAGGGTGGATAACCAGAGATAAGCCTCAGCTCTGGAGATGAGAGGTGTTAGTGACTTGCAAGCAGAAGACATTTCCACGCTTATCTTTCCTTCCCATGTGTCACTGGCTCCACCAGCAGAGGAGACCTCATACCCACCACTCCCTATACCTCTATTCTGGAAGCATAGCGGGAGCAAATTTAAATGTGCCTTTCACCTGCCAGGTTCCCTACCCCCACCCCACCCCCAGATTGTCAGTTGCAGTGTTTACTTCAACTCTTCCCTTTTCAGGGGGCCAGTGTTGGCGAGGAGAAATATTTAGGATTTGAGGCAGTTGTCATAAAACCTAGACTCATTCCAATGTTGAGAAGTGTCAGAACCGCACCGTGGCGTAAACAACATGTCACTTCGATTAGAGCACACTGCTCCTGAGCCACACTGTGGCTCCTAGACACTGTCTGTGTGTGAGTTTTCAGATAAAAACAAGTCGCTTTGGATATCAGCTTCTGTACATAATTTTGTTACTACTACTACTACCACTAATTTAACACTGTGCCATTATGAAACATTCATTGCTCAGAGGCCCCCAAATTTTCTGGTTCTCTCTGTCAGAGAGGCAGACCTATAGCAGTGGTTTTGGTCAGGTCGCCTCTGCTACGTACTGAGTTCGTTAGACAAATTAACATCCTCTCAGCCTTAATTTCCTCTCTTATAAAGTAGGAGTCATGGCGTGTACCTACCTCAGGACATTGCATTAAATGAAATAAAGTGCCAAACATGTCTGCCATGTGAAGGCGTAGAGGGTCAATAAATGCTGCATGTTGGACAGAGGGAAAAAGGCTAGCCTAACCTTGTCATTTATTTCCTCATGCTATTTTAATAAATGAGGTACTTTTATTATTCCCTAACTGTACTGCTTTTCTTTTCAAATGGCCATATCCTGAAGTGAAGAGTCAAAGCTTTCACATTATTATGAGTGAGAAAAAGCAAACACGTGGAGAAGGTTAGAACTCTGAAAGCTGCTAGAAAGACATTATCTTCAGTTTCATCACCACAACAGAGCAACTTCCATAACATTGTTTTGGGTGTTTATTGGAAGTTCAAGGTCCATTGAGCTTGAGGTCCATTGATTAATATGTAAGTATCTTCAGTTAGTTAACCAGGACAGTCAGCGAGAGAAGGGACGGGATGTTCCAGGAGATGGACTGACAGCGAAAACACGCACCACGTATTATGTAGCATTTTTTAAAAAGTAATAATACCGCATATTTTTGTCTGTATATTACATATGTATATATGAGTGTGGAAAATACTTGAAAGGAGCCGGACCAGGTCATAATTTTGCTTACTTGGCAATGTATCATAATACAGAGATGGGATAAGTAATCTAACGGGGGTACATTTATGTAAAGTTAGATACATGCATGTGTAGGTAAACATTCTTCTCATAAACCATTTAAAAGATAGAAATGATGCTTGAAAAAGATAGATTTCTTTTTATGCTACATTTCTAGTCATAGAAGCGGTGGTCCTTAGATTTCTTGGTTTTTTTTTGTTTTTGTTTTTGTTTTTGTTTGTTTTTAGGAGGCAACCCTCTTTTGCAGATTTTACCTGAATTGCTCAGAGAGGTCAAAAGGCACAGCACTGCATGCTGGTGCTCATCTCACGTCTTTGGCAATGACATTCTGAGGCATGTCGCTGGAACCCTGGAGTCCAGGATATTGCGTGTCAGACTCTTCATCTGTGGGATAGAAATCCTCGAGAGAGGAGTTCTGTCTAAAAAGTCCTTGCATTAAGAATTATTGTGAGTGGGATTCACAGGCTTGTTCTGAAGACAGTTCCCAGGGCTGTCAGCCAGGTCACATGTATGTATGACTTCTCATGTAGAGGAGCGAGTGGTTATTAAAAAAAAGAAAAAAGATCCAGCCTTCAGTCTGACCCATAGATGACAAAACTAGGAGTCTATCCTCGCTTTTTGAGAAATCATTGCCATTTTTATTTTTTTATTTTTTGATCCCTCCTAAGCTGTGACAGCTGTATCACTGTTAAAGCTATTTAATATTTTAACTGGCTGTTGTTTCACATTACAGACGACTCAAGGAAAAAGAAACAAGAAGTCAGTGGAAATACATTACTTGTGTTTACAGTCCCTCTGTTTTTTGTTGTATGAAAGCAGCTGGTTTGCAATTTAGACGGTAAAGGGTTTTTCTTGAGTTAATTTTTAGTTAATAGTGAGCTTTCATAAGAAAAATAATCTCAAATGCTAAGTATTTGTTAGATTGTTATTAATAGGAGCGATAGGAATATCACATTGTCTTTTTTCACACATTGAGGAGGGTTTCCTGGTGACAGCTGGAGTGTGGGAGAGGGGGAGTCACTTTCAATCAGCCAGCTGCTCTGTGCAACATCATGATGGCGATATTTCAAAGCCTGTGGGATAATTTTGGCTGTATTCAGAAAAGAAAATGTGTCAAATTTCTGGGAAGCAATAGATAGTGTACAAGAGCCGTGTAAGAGCCCTTTGGGATCGAGATGATAGTCAACTAACAATGTGTGCATTCAGGTTTGCGTGCCGGTGTTATTTTACCAGCTAGTTTCTTGGACATTGTTACATGCACATCATAATTATAAAGCAATAAAGTCTAGTTCCATGGGGGGAAAGGCTCATTACTGTATGGAGAGGAAGGGAGATTGGAAAACA